TCCCAAATTTGATGAGCTTTGCCTGTAATTACAGATCCAAGGAACTCAATAAATCCCAAGGAGGATAATCACAAAGTGACTCACATTCAGTTATATTATAGCAAACTGGTGGCAGACACAGACAAAAAGAAAATCTTGAAAGCACCAAGAGAAAAATGATTCATTACTTACAGAGATGCTGCAATAAGATTAACAATTGGCTTCTCATTAGAGAGTAAAAACATGGCCAATAACAGGATAACATACTCAAAGAAAACAACAGGATAACATATTTGAAGTGATAAAAAAAAAATTCAGCCAAGCATGCAGCAAAATTGCTCTTCAAAGATAAAGGAAAAATAAAGCCATTCCAGATAAACAAAGGCTGAGAGAATTTGTTGTTAGCAGAACTGTCTTACAAAAAAACACTAATGGAAATTGTTTAGGCTGAAAGGAAATTATGTTAGATAGTAATTCAAATTCTTAAAAAGACAAAGAGCATCAGAACTGGTAAATATGTAGATAAATAAAAAAATATTCTATAAATGTACTTTTCCAAATCTTCTCTTAACCTCTTTACAAGGCATAAGATTGTATAAAACAAATATTGTAACACTGTATTATTACATTTATATATGGATGTAATATATGTGACAATAATATCACAAAGGAGGGAAAGGAAAAATAGATATTTTGGACCAATCTTTTTATATTCTTTGGTACTGTTAATATTATATTGAAAAGTAGGTTGTGATTAGTTAGATGTCTATTATAGACCTGAGACAGGATAAGATATATAAATTCCTGGCACACAGCTCCTAAAACCCTTGGAATATTTGAAGTGATGTATCTGTTTGTATGCTCATGAGAGAACTGATGGCTGGGGGCTTCTGAATAACCTCAGGATGGGGGCTAGTTGCCCAGGGAACCAATGTGATTAGAGGGTTAGAACTTTACACTCCAAACCCTTGATCTCCAGGGAGGGGAAAGAGACCGGATGTTGAGTGAATGACGAATGGCCAATGATTTAATCAATTATGCCTACATAATGAAGCCTGCATAAAAATTCCTAAAGTATGTGGTTCAGAGAGCTTCCAGGTTGGTGAATGTATAAAGATGCTGGGACGGTGGCATGCTTGAAGAGGATGTGAAAGCTCTATCCTGCTTCCCCCATACCTTGCCCTATGGGTCTCTTCCATCTGGCTCTCCCTGAATTGTGTCCTTTTATAATAAACTAGCCATCTAGTAAGTAAACTGTTTTCCTGAGTTTGGTGAGCCATTCTAACAAATCATTGCACCCAAAGAGGGGGTCATGAGGATGTTTCACGTATAGTCAGTAGGTCAGAAGCACAGGTGACAACTTGTATTTGCCATTGGTGTCTGAAGTGGGGAAGAGGGGTGCAGACTTATGAGACTGGGCTCTTAACGTGTGGGATCTGCACCAACCTAAAGTAGACAGTATCAGAATTGAATTGAACTGTAGGACACCCAAGTCGGTATCCACAGAGAACTGGACAATTGCTTGGTGTGGGGAAAACCTCCACACATCTACTGCTAGAAGTATTGAGAGTAGAGTGTTGAGAGTAGAGTACTCAGAAGAAAAACAGAGTTCCTTTTCCTTTTCAAGTCCCTAAAACAACTACTAGGAAAATAACTATAGGTAGATAGATAGATAGATAGATAGATAGATAGATAGATAGATAGATAGAGAGATATACATATATATATATATATATATGGCTAACAGAGGAATCAAAGGTACACTAACACATAAAAATAACCTAAGCTTCCATCTTAAAAAATGAGAAGAAGAGAAAAACAAAATAAGAGCTGGCAGAAGGATATAAAACATATTTTAAAAAACAATGAAATAGAAAACAGAAAAACAATAAATAAAATCAATGAAACTAAAAGCTCTTTGAAGACACAAATTACCAAAGTCAGAAAGAAAGAAGGGACGTCATTATTGACCTTATAGGAATTAAAAGGATTATAAGGGAATATTATGAACAACTTTATCCCAACAAATTAGACAAGTTATTTGAAATGGGCAAAGTCCTAAAAAGATAAAAATTCTTGGGAAGATACAGATTCCTAAAGATAAATTAAATTTCTAGCAAAACACATAATTTACTCAAGAAAACAAAAGAAAATCTGAATGGGCCTATAACAAGCAAAAAAAATGAATTCGTAATTTAAAATTTTCTGATAAAAAGATGCCAAGGTCCATATGGCTTTGCTGGTTAATCTTGTCAAATATTTAAAGAAGAAATGATACCAATCTTTAACACACATTTTCAGAAAATACAGGAAGGGACACTTCCTAACACATTCCTTGAGACCAGAGTTACCCTGATACCCAAGGCAGACAATGACAACATGTGAAAAGAGATTGAAAATATTCCTCAAGGACATGAGTACAAAACTTTTTAGCAAAATATTAGCAAACCAAATTCAACAACTTATTTAAAAAGGTTATATACCATAACTAATGGATATTTATTTAATATCTGAAAATCAACTAATGCAATACACCATATTAATAGAATAAAAGACAGAAACCACATGATCACCTCAGTAGACATAGTAAAGCATTTAAAAAAAATTTACACCCATTCTTTATAAAATCTCTCAACAAACTAGGCATAGAAGGGAACTTTCTCAACCTGGCAAAGGGCATCTACGAAAATCCTAAAACAATGACTGAACACTTTTCCTCCAAGGATCAGAAACAAGACAAGATGTCCGGTCTTACAATATCTGCTCTACATTGTTTTGGAGATTCTAGCCAGTGCAATAAGGAAAAGAAATCAAAGGCAACCAGAAAAGAAATCCAAAAAGAAGTAAACTTGTTTTTATTCGCCGGTGGCATGATGCTATTTCTAAGGAATTTCTAAGAAATTCACACACACACCCCCCAAAAAATTTATTAGAACTAATAGATAATTTAGCCAAGTTACAAGACACAAGATCAATATAAAATAGTAGTGATACAAATTCTGCTTTATTTCTATGTGTTCTTCCTATCCCTGATTTCAGGTAGTTTTCTGAGCTCCAATGAATGATTCTGCGACCACCCAGTTAAGAAGAAAAAAAATAATTGGGATTTTTTAGAAATTCAATTTTACATAATTACCACCTGAAAAATAATTATTTCCCCATTATCATGTTTGCAGAGCCTCTGCAGAGATAAGAACAATTATCAAGATCACTGTTGCTAACAGCTGATCTATAGACAGGCGGTGCCATTGAACGACATCTTCCCTCGCCCAACCCTCAAACACAGGCTTCTGAATCATTCCAAGATCTCTCTGTAAGTCTTACCAGTCTGTATTTAGGATTCGGGGGCTGTAGGACATCCCCAAAATTCTTGCCCATTGGTGGTCTATCCACAATATTAGGAATTAATGGGGCTATCAGTTGCTTGAAAAATGGAGGCTCTGGACCGCTGCTCAGGTTGGCCACTGTGTCCTAGAAGAGAGAACATTTGCTTCAGGAGCGCACAATGCAGTCAAAGACCCTTTCCAAGTTCCCTACCCGCAGAAATGCTTTCATTAAAGGAGTCTCTCTCTTTCTCCCCCTCTCCCCCCAAGAGGTAACTACTTTAACAAAATATGTGGGGAATCTTGCTAAAATGTGAGTGTAGATAGATGTGCATAACTTAAACTTTCATCACTAAGTGAACGTTTTTGGTTTGGCCATACTTTCTTCCCCTAGGCAGCACAGTTCAGTGATCAGGGTGGAAGCTTGGAAGCATGCTACCCAGCTTTAAATTCTAGGACAACCATTTTTTAAATGTGTGACTTTGCACAAGGGCCTAACGTATAACAAGCCTTCATAACATGACACTAGAATTATTCTTTTAATTTTTAAAAAGGGTTGAGCCTTTCTTTTCTAGAGTCACACTAAGATTTTTTTCTCTAAATCCTTCTCTGTGCTGATTAAAGAATATAATAAATATGTTTGGTTTTTCTTTTAAAGATTTTTATTGGGGAATTGGGGGGAGGGAACCAGTCTTGGGAGATTGGGGAAGGGGAACAGACAAGTTGCTGTCGTTTTGTTCTTCAGTCTAGTTGTGGAGGACGTTGCTTCATTGGCCCAAGTTGGCACCATCATTGTGCTCTTCGCGGGCAAGGCAGATCAGTCGCCGGCTTCTGGACGGCCGCTCACCGCGGCTGCTGGCCACTCACGCTGGCTGCTGGCTACACACGGTAGCCCATGGCAACCCACTGCAGCAGGGGCTGCAGCCTACACCGTCGTCACCAGCGACTTAAGGCAGCCCAGCTCCAGGTTGAGCTGTTGTTCAGCATCTTAGTTGTAGAGGGCAGTGTCACTGGCCTTCATATGTGAGATCCAAACCAGGGCCCTCAGGTGTCCCAAGCCAGCTCTTAACCAATGTGCCACTCAGCCAGTCCAATAAATATGTTTTTAATTTAAAAGTTAAGATCAGCCTATATCCCAGCTAGTTTAATCTGTGTTTTCTACAAGATTTGCCACCTTTAATAATGTCAGCAAAATGCTACCCTCAAATTTTAAATAGCTCTTCATATGTATTGAATGTACTTTAATCTTCAGTTTATATATTTAATCTTTACAACAGCCACATAATCTATCATCATTCCCATTTTGCAAATGAGAAAATAGGGTTGGAGATACTCAGTAGTTTTCAAGATCACATAGCTAATCTTAGATACATAACTGTAAAATTGACTGTGAAACAAATTTTCACAAAATGCATTACACTTTTCTTCCTAAATATCACTATAAAATTTGAAGAATCTATTCCCATGAGAAGAGCTCTAGACCTATGATTGCAATGAAAGTTATCTCTAAGAATGGGTTATAAGTTTATACTTTTCTGTTTAACATGAATATTCTACAAATTGTTATAGTTTTTATGATGAAAAATAATTAATATGATGAATAAATAAATAGTTGTACTTTGAAAAAAAAGTATCAGACCTAAAATTAAAACATTATAGCATAATAATCAGGTAATTAAAATATGTCCTAATACCTTGCACTGAAACTTCAAACACACAGTTAGCAACTAATTAGGTGGGAGTATATGAAACTGCCAATATTCAACTATTTTGACCTATAGAAACAGCAATTTCACTTGTTTCAATTTAATATATCGAAGCTCTTTCTTTGAGAGCGCTTTATTGTTTTTGCTATGTCATAATTGTTTCACAACCTTATTGGGGCTTATATGGTATTATATAATATAATGATCTGTTTATTAGTTAAGATCTTTATCCTGCTTGTTGACTAATCTTCCCACCCTAGGGTGAAGCATAATAAATAACTGTTTTCAAAGGGAAAACTTCCACAAGTGGAGTTCCTTTAATTAAGCTTGCTTAGGCATGCAAATTTTAGGTAGACAGAATATGTGTGTATTCCCAGGTACTGTTATACTTGATCAAATCTAAGCCTCTATTAACTATAACAACTATTATTATTTTTGAACCACCAAAAAAGTAAAAAACATATTACTAATTATAAGATTCCTCTGCTTGGAAGATGCATCCCAATTTCAGAGGTGTTATAACATGGAAATGGGCATCTCAGAATTGATGACCCGGTCAACTCATGATTGAAGAGAATCTGGCTAGGATTAGAGAACACTGATTCAAGTCTCAGTTATAGTTATAATAAGCCTGATCATTTATCAACTCTGAACCTATTTGCTCATCTGAATAATAAGGGAAAAAATGATACTTCCACGCTTCACATGATGATTGTGAGGATAACATGAGGTAGTATGTATGAAAAAAACTGTCACCACCAAATGATGTTCACTGAATTGAAATTTATCTTTTTCATTTCCTAGAGATACCACATACCTATAAAATTTTTTAATATAAAGGTTTTCAAAGAAACTGAACACTCATAGCTAAGGTTCTCTTTTGTTTCCCCTGTGCACCTCCTCATCCCTGAGACACACACACATACAATTTTTGATTACCGTAGCAATGGCCTTAGCAAGGACTTTATAGAGCTGGATGTAAGCAGACAGAGTGTGCGGTCCATAAATTGTAGATGCTGCCTCATACCGCTGAACCTGCAAGAAAGTCAGGGCCATGTTGTCCACTGTTCTGCAATGTCACAAGCCATTTACAGAGGTGTCACACCTTAGGTGAGGGGTGATGCTTGGACATCGCATGGAATTCAAACTGGCACAATTCAAGAATCATTATGACAAAGGGGGAGGACATTTTCATTTACCAGCTAAAGTGCATGACTCCGATTCCATCAACTACTTGTTAAAGGCAGTGGGTTCTCTTGGCTTATACCATTTGGACTGTCAGTCCATTTAATCTGAAAGAGGGTAATAGCTCTTGAGCTTATGTCCATTTTAAGTACATACTTGTAATATAAATGTTTTCCCCCAAAGAGTATAGCAGGAGAAAAAAAAATGAGAAAAGAATGATAGTCTTAGTCACCCTGGATAATTTGGGTGGTAATAGTACTATCAGGAGGACACTTAACCCATCATAGAGCTATAAAACAGAATCAAATACATCTCCTTCTACCTGAGCTCCAAGTCTCTGGTTGTCCCACAGGAACCTCAAGTTCATCAAGTCTAAAATGGAACTCATCACTCCAAACATATCAGTTTCCCCTGCAACAGTATCTCATTTTTTTAGAATGTATTGGGGTGACAAGGGTCAACAAAACCACATAGGTTTCAAGTGCACAATTCTATAATACAAATCATCTACATATTGCATTGTGTGCAACATTCTTAATCTTAGTGAGTGCTGTCCTTCCAGACTCCCATGCCAGGATCACCTGGCAGTCATCCTAGTCTCCTCTCTCTCCCTCATCCTATATGCTATAAGTCTCTAAGTCATTATTCCTTGAAATCCCTTGAATTCTTTTATTTTCCTCTTTCTCTACTGCTTTTACCTTGGTCAAACCCTTTCCTCTCACCTCAGTCATAGCTACAGTTTCTTAGTTAGTTCTCTGCCTCCACACTTCCAATTCATTTTCTACACTGCCATCCTAATGCCCTTTCTAAATCACAGATTTGATCAGAGCAGAGCATTCCTTCCTCTGAATTCTACTGCAGTTCCCCAAAACTTCCCTGACTGAGTTAAAGCTCTGTAACATAGCATGGCGTTTCATCAGCTAACCCCTGCCGCCCACTCTAGCCCCTGTCTGACTGCTCATCATGTTTACTCCATGGGACTCAGTTAATTATGGCCCCTTAAAACATACTGTCTTCCCCCTCTAGACCTTTAAATATGTAGCTCCTTCAATACGGAACACCTTCCTGAACTTTGATTTGCCTAACTAGCCCTTACTCATTCTCAACAACTCAGACAGATGATTACATTTTCCAAAAACAATTGGCCAATCCCCATGCTCGAATACCCAGTCTAGACTGGTGCTCATTCTCTTTGTTTTTATATCACCTTGTGCTTCCCTTTCACAAAAAGTAATCATCTGATTTCTTCTCTGTCTTTTACTAGGCCGTAAAGTCTAGTGATTTTGAGGGCAGGGGCAGGTTCTTATTCATTGTTATGCCCAGAGGAGTGGCTAATATTGTGTCACAACACATATCTGTTGAATGAATGAATGAATCAATGAATGAATGAATGAATACTAATCCTGGCAGGAACATATCTCTGAACTGGGAGACAAGCTTGTAGGGGTTCCTAACCTTATTCATGCCATGCACTCCTTTAGCCATCAGTTGAGGTCCATGGACCACTCTCAGAGTAATGTTTCTAAAGCATAAAATAAAATGCATGAGTTGGCAAAGGAAACTGATTAGACTGAAAGGTTTGCAAGGTGTTTAGCTAGTGCATTCAGTAAGTAATAGCTATCAGTGGGAGTTTTTCCAAGTTCTACAGAAGCTTAAGGCATCAGAAGCATTATGGATAGAGTTGAAACTATTGTATGCCACAACCCAGGCTTATTACCAGTGCCTCTAACAAAATAATCTATTTCAGGGAGAGTGAAAGTCAGTGAGACAGATTTCTCACCTGAACTTGGAAATGGTAAACACAGAACTCCCAAATGCAATCTCTGGCACACTATTCTCTTTTCTGCACTAAAACCATGATTAATGAAGTCTATTGTACCTTTGACACAATAGTCTTGACCAGGGTATGATTAACTTAAATATTAAAACCTCTTTACTTTACCTGGTATTCTTCATAGGTGGCAATGTAATGTGTATATACATTGCATAGACCCGAAATAATAACTGTCATATTCTGCATCCCATAAGTTGCAAACTCCTGGGGTGGGGGAGGGAAGGGAGGTATAACACAGTAAAGTTACTCTTCATCTTAAAGTATATTATCATCCCAGTCACACTTAATATACAATCAAAGATACGAATCATTACTATAAGATGTCTCTCTCAATGATGTTCTTTCTAATGATCAAAACTGCCTGGGAATGCAAAAGTATCAAAGAGTCCTCGATGAAAAGTTAGAGGCATAACTCTGCACTATAGTTGGGCAAGTCAATTATGAACATCCTAATGATTGCATTTGCAGATGTAGAATCTTATTACTAAAATACAGATTTTATTAATTTCCTAAAAAGTATAATGGGGGCTTGGTTATTAGTTAACCATAGTAGTTATTTCCAGCCCCAAGTAATATTTGTTGATTATTTCATTTTAGAACCATTTACAGTACTTCCTGGACATAAAGAAAATCATAAATATAGATAAAATACAGAATTCCCAACATGTGTTTGATTTTATTTAGACAAGACTTTAAGGTATTAAGGTACTTAGGGGTTGTTTACTATTTAATCTATAAAACCATAATCAATTTTTAAACTATTAATACATAAATACCAATAAAATATTTTTAACCCAACTACAGTTTCCTAATGCATTAAGTTTGTTCTTATACTTTCAATATTTCATATTTACCACTAGCCATTACCTTCAAGAAGTGTAAAACTCTAAACATCTTAGCAAAGGTTAATTTAAAAGGTACTAAGTCATATAGATACAGAATTCTTTTCTCTTCACCAAATACAAATGCAGATGTTTTATTTCATTTTTAACTTACTGCTTTAATTGCCTCCCGAAATCTTCGTCCAGACATGGTCCTAAGTAAAGAAAACAAAATTATCTAAGTATTTTTCTATTCAGAATGTATGCAAAGTATGCAGAAAGACTTGTAGTGAAAACCAAATGTCACCCTGGCTCGTTACACAATCATAAATTATTTAGGAACTCGGTGAAAGAGCAAAGCCTAAGCTAAGCTTTTTTCCTGACTGCTCTAATTTCAAAACAAATTCTAAAATGAAAACAGATAATTTGAAGGAAGTAAAAAGAATCAATAAATATCAATGGCAAAAGATCACAATCATTTTCCATTTGTCATTGATTCGGCAAAATATATGGGTTGTATTCTATGTTAATATAGCAAGTAGAGAGTGTATTGTTCCTGCCTACAGAGAACTTACCATTTCCCTCATTCATTTCATCCTTCATAAAGCACAGCACCTACTATTTACCAGGCCCACTATATTAACTGCTATTCAACAGTATAAAGCTAACATTCTAGGGAGGGAAGACGGTCAATAAGCAAATTAAAAAGTGAGACAACAATAAGTGTTATGGAGAATATAAGGTAAGGTGAGGATGAAAGGGAATGGTGGTGGTCACTGAAGATGATGGTACTGGTGCTGATGCTGCAGTGATGTGGTTATGGTGGTGGTGGTGGTGGTGGTGGTGGTGGTGGTGGAAGCAATGGTGGGTGAAGACAATGCTGTATCATATAAGCAGGACTGGCATCTCTGTTAGAGATTTCAGCAGAGAACTGAGGAATAAAAGAGTTGGCAATGGGGATTACTGGAGGGTAAGTGTCTCAGGCAGAAGGGACCATAGTTCCAAAGCACTAAGACAGGAGCGTGTTCGAGGAATCTGGGATTGACATGAAGCCAAATGGCTGAAGTACTGGGGAAGAGGGTGGAGAGTGGTATGAAATCAAACCCAAAATGTTGCTGAGGAGAAGATCACACAGGGCCCTGTAGGATACTGTAAGGGCGTGAGGATTTACCTAGAGTGAGATGGGAAGCCAGTGGAGGATTTTGAGCAGTGACATGATTTAACTTGATGTTTTAAAAGGATTCCTCTGGCTGTGGCATTGATAAAATAAGATAGAGAAGTAAAGGAGGAAGCAACACGGCAAGACAAGAGGCTATTGTAGTTATCTAGGGGAGAGATAGTGGTGGCTTAGACCAGAGGAAGTTCAGGAGCGTGGGGGAATGATAGAAAGTGTAGGATAGAATGTAGAGAATTGCTGTAGGACTGAACGTGGGAGAAATTGAAAAAGAGAATTCAGGGATGACTCCAAGATTTAGGCAACTGGAAAGATATAAAATTGCTATTTACTAAATAGGAAAGCCTGCATAAAAAGCAAATTTATAACATTCTTCTTCCATGCTTCTAATACCTAAACTAATTTTTCATGTACCTGTATTTTAATATTACTTCAAGTCTTTCTGCTGACATAGTAATTCACCACACCATTTTAATTTGGAATGAATGATAAGTCTTCAAATTTTTATGCTTGCTTCAAGTTACACCTCAGCAATAAGCATGCAGAGATTTATTTTTCAGAGGTTCCACCAAAAGAGGGTGGGAATATTTGTCACTGTTGCCAAATATAGTACAGTGAGATATAAAGGAGTCAGTACAGAATTATGCCCATGATAGGAAGTGATTCCAACAGAAACACATATACAATAATTACGTTATTAACTACAAATTAAGAAAGAACTTACGTAAACTCCCCAGGGATGGCAGTTATGGCCAAGGACCCAAGAGTAATAATCTGAACATCAACAATATCTGGGTGCCAGGGATGAGGTTTTGACAGCTAAGAACCCAAAACATGAAAACTGTATTAAGAATATTACTATCATCAGGATGCATGTGATGATCACTTAACTTCCTTTATGAGAGGATTTTAAATGTTTCCAGCTGCTTTTGGTGTCTTATCCTACTATCATAGATTTTATTTCTAATTCATGGTGTAACATTAAATATTCTATCTGGTCATAACATGCGAATATCAAATGACAATGCCCCATTAACCTGGATTTATTTTCCCATCAATGAAGTTTTTGATGGATTAGTCATTGTGGAATCACAATGTATAACAGGTAACCAAGAATTCTACTAGAGTATTGTGGTAACTATCCTTATTCAAAATAAATAAGGAATTCCATTATTTGGAATAGTTTGACTTAATGACTTCTCTTTTTACTTCAATAGCACTTTAAATTTTCAGTTACCAAGTCTTGCCTTACTTTCCAAGTTTTCTTCAAGAGAATCTATCCCTTCCCATATTCAGACTAGTGTAGAATCTTTCTCTATATTCCATCCCTTTCCTCTCTTTCTTCTACCAGAAGAATTTTAATTGAATATTATAAAAAACTCTATTTAAACATTTTCTATATCAAAATTCATAATACGAACACTGACATGACATTTTCATATTTAGAATGTGAAAATTCATGTTCCAAAAGAGTATTAAAAGAATATTGCTTTAATTAATAACATTGCCTGAATTGTGAAAAAATTGAGACATGGATATGTTCCTTTTTATATGACCTGAGATGTTTTTTCCTCTGCAGAAAATTCTGTGTGAACTCCTGCCCTGGAGATAACATAAATGAATCTTAAATAAGGTAAATGTTAATCTTATTCTTCCTTTTTCAGTGTTCTAATTGTCTAGGTTACTTATCATAAATTTTAAGTCATAATATTTAATAATCATACCTCTTATATTTTTAATTAGACTCATAGCAACTACATTTTTAATATTAAATATTTTGATGTGAGGATATCTAAATAAGATCTCCCATGCCAATAGAGATCTACCACTAATATCTGACAATTTATAAATTTTAAAAGGCAATATACTAATTTTATCATGATAATAAAAAAGCTTTACCTCTCCAGTGTGAATAAGGACTGGCTTCGGTTTATGACATTCTTTGATTTCATCAGATGGCTTGCCCAGGAGCTGATCCCGAATGTTGTCCCAAAATGGATCCGATACTGTTGTTCCTATTAGAGATGTAATAATTAATATGACTCCAACACCCTGGAAAATGGTATCATTTTGACAAATGTTGTATAACAATGCTTTTAGGAGTTTCAGAGATTTCATTAAGGGTGTTATTCAATGATTCCAAACTGTTTGAACAATAGGAAAGGCATATTTTCCTGTGCTTCCTAAAATAGGAGCCATTATTTAATCATATCTTCAGTGTGGTTGGTAGAATAAAAGAATATATTTTGCTCAAAGTTTTGTTTCTATTGCTCTTCCCCTTCCATACTGCAAATAAAAACAATATGATAAAATTAAGTGTAGATCTATGAATTAAATCATCTTTTTTTCCATTGTGAAAACTAAAAATGACACCTCCAACTTAAAGTACCAGTTGTTTGGATTTTGGTCTTTGAAAGACCCTTTCTTGAATCCCCACTTAATTATCTACACACCAACACACACACACACACACACACACACACACACACAAGAGTAAAAAACAAAAACATAGCCTAAAATCTATAACCTGGGGAAAAGTTATATTAACTACAAAACCTATGAACTTAGAACCTATAACCCATTAGGAAAACATAACAATATTAAACATATATGACCTCACATCAGATCATTCAAAGTACATGAACCAAAACTGGCAGAAATGAAAAGGGAAAAAGACAATCAACAATAATATTTGGAACTTCAATAGCCCACTTTCAATAATAGATGGAACAACTAGTCAGAAGATCAACAAGGGAATAGAAAATTTGAACAACACTAGAAGTCAACAAGACCTATCAGATACCTACAGATCACTCTGTCCAACAACAACATAATACACATTCTTCTCAAGTGGATATGAAACATTATCCAGCATAGACCAGATGCTGACTATAAAACAAACCTTGGTAAATTTTAAAGAAGATAAATAATACAAAGTATGTTTCCCAACCACAATGTAATAAAATTAGAAATAACAGAAGAAAATGTGGGGAAATCACAAATATGCAGAAATTAAGCAACATAATCATAAATAGCTAATGGTCAAGGAAGAAATAAAAAGAAAATATAAAAATACTTTCAGATGAATGCAAATGAAGACATGGTATACCAAAACCTTATAGGGATGCAGTAAAAGCAGTATTCAGAGGGACATTTATAGCTTTAAATGCCCATATTAAGAAAGAAGAATAGAGTGACATCAGCAAGATGCTAGAGTAGAAAATATTAGCCATTGTTCCCTCATGAAAAACAACAATTAAAAAGCTATTCACAGATGAAAATAACCCTGGGAGGGCTCAAGAGTACAATTAACTAAGGCTACAATAATTTGTTAATGGGTACACAATGTAAAAAACATGTAAATTGTGACATTAAAAATGTAAACTATGGGGAGAGGGGATACAAAGGTAGTTTTTGTATGTGATTGAAGTTAAATTATCAGCTTAAAATATAAGATATTTTATGTAAGCCTCATGATAACCAAAAAACAAATACCTTTAGCAGATTCTCAAAAGATAAAGGAATCAAAGCATACCATTATTAAAAATCATGATATCACAAAGGAAGACAGCCAGAAAAGAAAAAAGGAACAAGGAAACTATAAAAACAGCCAGAAAACAATGAATACAGTGGCATTCAATAAGTTGTTGCCTATAAATAAGTACTATAAATGGAAATAAATTCTCCATACAAAAGGTATAGAGTGATAGATGGATAAAAATCAAAACCAACTATATGCTCCCTATAAGAGTCTCACTTCAGTTTTAAGGACACACATAGGTTCAAATTTAAGTAATAGCAAAACATATTCCATGCAAATGAAAATCAGAAATGAACAGGAGTAGGTATAATTCCATCAGACATAACAGATTTTAAGTCAAAAATGGTAACAAGAAACAAAGTAGGTCGTTATATAATGATAAATGGGTCAATTGGTCAAAAAAACTAAGAACTGTTTTTTTGAAATGATAAACAAGACTGACAAACCTTTAATTAGACTAAGAAAAAATAGAGGGAAGACTCAAAGAATCAGAAATGAAAGATGAGGCATTTCAACTGACACCACAGAAATAAAAAGAATCATAAGAGACTAATTTTATGCCGCCAAATTGGATAACCTAGAAGAAATGGATAAATTCCTAGAAACATACCAACTATCAAGACTGAATCATAAAAAAACAGAAAATTTGAACAAACCAATGAATAAGGTTGAATCACTAATCAAAAACCTCCTAACAAAGAAAAGCCAGGTGGTTTTACTGGTGAATTCAACCAAATATTTAAAGAATTAATGTCAACCCTTCTCAAACTCTTCCCCAAAATTGAAGAGGAGCGATGACTCCCAAACTCGCTTTACAAGGCCAGGATTACCCTGATACCAAAGCCAGACAAGGACACCACTAGAAAATTACAGGCTGCGGCAGACCTGGAAGCGGCCAAGGCAGAGAGAAGGTCTGGTTGGCGACCTTGACTTTTGGTCTTTCTAGTTTAAACCTGAGCATCTCAGTTCACTGTCCTACACTCGTGACGCCTGGGGGTCAGTATCAACGTTGAAGTCCCCACACCCGCGCCCCCTACAGCGGAGCTTCTTGTCCCTGACTGTGACCTGTGACAAAGGACAGGAAAGGGCGACCTTGTCAGCATTTCAAGGCCCTTCTGCCTGTCAGTTTGGAGGAAGTAGATGAGGGGCCTGAGCTGAAGCCCTTGTGGGCACATTGTCAAGATGCAGATGCGATTCCTCCCCTGACCTTCTAAGGAAACAACTCAGAGCAGGAAGAGGACAAGGACGAAATTGCTTCTCAGCTATGTCTTCTGACATCACCTTGGACTTGTTTCCAAACCCAGGAATAGAAGATTCATTCCACAAAATGCTGAGTCCATGTAATGATGAGAGTAGTTATCAATTCAGTCAATCTTTGAAAAACTTTAAACAAAGTTCAGATCCTAGTAAGCATCAGAGATTTCAGTTTCTAGAGAACCAGTGTACACATGGGAAAGCCTCCCATGAAAGCTCAAATCTTACACATCAGAATAGTTATATTGCAGAGAAGTCAAACAAATGCAGTAAAGACAAGTATTTGAACCAATCATTATATCTTACGGAACATGAGACTATTCATCCTGGGGAGGAACCTTACAAATGTAGTCCATGTGAGAGAGTCTTTAGTCAATTATCAGTCTAAACGGACATAGGACAACCCACACTGGAGTAAAGAGTTACGAACTGAGAGAACGTGACAAAACTTTTACTCAGTGTCAAATCTCACTGGACATGAGATGACTCATGCTAGAGAGAGGTCTTACAAATGCAGAGAATTCGGCAAAGCCTGCCATTGGCATTCATCTTTTATTAAACATGAGATAGTTCATACCGGTGAGAAGCCTCACACATGTAAGGAATATGGCAAAGCCTTTCAACGGCATTCACAAACTAGCGAACATCAGATAGTTCATACTGCAGAGAAGCCTTAGAAATGCGAAGAATGTGGAAAAGCCTTTAGTGGACGTTCACATCGTAATGCGTACGAGTTCATCCATGCTAGAGAGAAGCCTTACAAATGTAGAGAAAGCGGGAAAGCCTTTACTCAGCGCTCACATCTTGCTGCACATAAGAGAATTCGCAGTGGAGAAAAGCCTTACAAATGTGAACACTGTGGCAAAGCCTTTACTAAGCATTCAACTCTCACGGTACATAGGAGAATTCATGCTGGAGACAAGCCTTTCAAATGTATAGAGAATGAGGTAAAACTTTTGTTCAACGTTCATGTCTTACTAGACAGGAGTTCATCCATACTGGACAGAAGGCTTACAAATGTAGAGACTGTGGGAAAGCCTTTTACCTGCGCTTTAAACTTACACAACATGAGAGAAGTCATACCAGAGAGAAGCTGGTGAATAAAGCCTTTACTCAGCGTTCATTTCTTACAAGGCATGAGAGAACGCACACCGGAGAGATGCCTTACAAATGTGAAAAATGTGGCAAAGCCATTAGTCACCATTTAGAGTTTACTAAACACATGAAAATTGACCATGGAGAGAAACCTTAAAAGTGAAGAATCCAAGAAACCCTGTAGCTGGACCTACAGCCTCACTCAGTATCAGAGAATGCTTCCTGCGGAGAAATCAACATTCAAAATCAACAATGAAAACCCTCTGTTCAAAATTCAAACTTCAGAAAGGCCACATAATTCATGCTCCAAAGTGACTTGAAAGATGTAAAATAATGTGAGGAAATGTTTAATCGACAATGAAATCTGAAATATTAGAGAATTGATATTACAAAGTCATCAGTAAAAAACAGTTTTCAGATAGTTTAAATCAGAATACATATAGTGAATAAGCAAATGTTAAAAAAAGTTTTGAATATGCTTGAAAGTATTAAGGGGATGGATGTTGCAAAGGTATAATTATTTACAATGAGTCTATATATTGATAATACTTGAGGTTTGTTGTAAAGGAAATATTATAGTGATCTCACTGTGAAGTCACTTGATGCTGTTTTTTTTTACTCCTAGTGTGTGTGAATCATGGGTTGTTTGTTGCTGTCATCTGAGAGCCCTTGTGTGTTGGGTGGGATTCACTCAGAAATACTTTTCCCTGGAAGACTGAGGGCACTGTAACATACAATGTATGATAAAAATCTAAATGGAGATGCTGTTTTGTTGACTTAGAATGTTGATGTAAGTCACCGTGAAGTAGGTGTTCAGGGCATCTTTGTGTTCATTAATGTGAGAAAGGAACATTCTGAATTATAATTAGTTTTTCCAATTGCTTTTTAAGGAAAATAAGGTGGTGGGTTTTGAAACCCTGATGTGTCATTGTAGAAGTCATAGACAGGAGTCATGAATATTACCAGATGTGGTTGAAATAAGGAAGTCTCTGGCGATATCTGAGAAACTACAGACAACTCATCCCTAAGTGCATAAATTATTGTACATCGTTGTTTCCTAAACAATGAGCCTCAGTCTTCAAACCCATGGAAAACAGAGCTGTAAGATCATTATATCAGAACAACCAGAATGCTTCTTAAATGCTTGTTATCTGTATTTTGTGCATGGATCTTACAAGTGGTTTACCATGCTTTATTTAGACTGTGTGTGAACTTATATTTACATTGATAATAAAGCAAATGATTTTTAATGTATTAAAAAAAATTACAGGCTGCTATTCCTGATGAATATAAAAGCAAAAATCCCAAACAAAATACCAGCAAACTGAATTCAACAGCACATTAAAATGATTATATATATGTTAAAAATCACTCAATTACATAGATTAAATGGGTAAATTGTGTGGTATATAAATTATATCTCAATAGTTCTATTAAAAATATTGTTTTAGAACATTAGATAAAGTGGATAAAATATTACCAGGAAAGATGGCACCAAATATGTCAAATTGCAACTGTATTCATTAACATTTTAATTAATGGTTCCAAAATATACATACATAAATGACAAGAATGAAATAAGCCAAAACATTTCCTGTAGATGATACTCTTTCACTTTTTCCACTTTCTCTACTTTAAAATGTATATTATTACAGTGATAATCAGAAGAAAATTATAAAACCTAAAATAATCAATTATAAAATTTGTGAAAATACACACAGGAAGAGGACCTGGGACCACAGGCTGCACCCCCGAACACCACTCTTGCCCAAGCACAATTTCAAATTATTCGTCCATAGATTATAATGCAAAGATAATTTATTTCTGATTGTATTTGAATCAGTGGAAAGCTAAATTACAAGACACCTAATCCCTGGGAAATCTAACTATCATGTAGAAATCTGGAAAACCCAGAAACCCCTGAATTTAAAAATGAAAACAGTCAGTGTGCTGGCTACAACGAAACCCTTTTAGGGAACACAGCCCTGAAGCTTCAGAGCCTAGAAGCACAGATTTCCTCACCCTGTGTAAAATTGAGGCTACCAGCTCCATCAATGGTGCCCGCTGCAAAACTGTAGCCCAGTGCTGGTTTACACGTTTTTGCCTAAAGAAAAGATTTTAAAATCAAAACAAAAAAGAAACAGACGTTACACTTCAAGTAAATAATGAGATCAGCCCAGAGCTTTTACCCTTGGTGGCATAATCATTGTGACTCAGTGACACTTACTGTGTGTGTGGAATTGAGCGAGACAGTGACATTCGTCATATTCACCCACTGATGAGCCGAAATTAATGGTCCAGTTACCTCCTGGAAGGCAGAGGCATACAGCTCCTAGAAAACCCAAATAGGCTGTTATAAGCAAAAAAGCTAAAATGAATACTACCAACTGTACCCAATAAGTACCAATTTGAAAAAGCACCATTCATCCAAGTTTTGTTTTGCTGGCTGCTTACAAATAGCCACTACCCACATGCATCTCTCTACCAACCCCAGTTGCTTCCCTGAAGATTGAAAGCCCTGAAACAGTTGACCTGTGTCTATTCCCCATAAATATGAAATTCTAGTCATACAAGATGTAGCATAAAAGGCCCCAATTTCACCTGGAAGACAGAAAGGGAAATTTAAGATTAGAAGTAGGTGGGCCAAATTACTTTCTTTGCCACAACAAGAATGCATCTTCAGGAATTCTCATGGACATTTACCTCTCAGAATCCTTGGGTCCTATGGCAGGGCTGGTGCCAAAGGATGGCTTGAAAGACTTCAGACACACTTAATCTGCAACAGCTTCCCCCACACCACACACACACTGTTCACCTTTTGATGATCTTTTTCTTTTTAATATGGTTAATTGATATTTTTTTTCAATCTTATGGGAAATGTGAGCCAAAACGTGTTGAGAAATGTTTGTTTTTATTGATTTATATCATACAATATAGGCAAATGCTACGTCAGCACAAGTTCCTTTGCCTGACACCTAACTCATTTCCATTACACTCCCATCCCAGTTTCAATAGCCACGTGGGAGCTCTCAAGATAAGTCCTTGGTAACACCAGCTGCAGCCTGCCTACCCTGATGAAGAGGGAAGTTGTGCCTTCCTGAGAAGAGAATACAAAATGTGGGACAAATCTCTATGGCTCCCAGGCCCAGAATGGTAACAAAATTTCTGACACCAAAATGTGTCACGTGTGCACACCTTCAATAGGATCTGTACATTTAGAGCAATCTACTGATGATAATACAGTAATTAAAAAGAAATAGCAGCAATTAGGCTGGCTAGTGTCTGATGATTTTAAAGGTGCTTTTGATCTTCCTTAATAGCTCCTGAAACATTTTAGAATCCTTGGAATAAAATATTTACTTACACACACACACACACACACACACACACGCACACACACACGTGTGTGTACAACAAAGGTATGACTAAGCTATAAAAAGGAAAAGATTTAACTATCTTTATCAGAGATATCTTAACTCTAGAGCTAATCCTTTGTCTTTTCAATCAGAAATCTGTTTCCATAGAAGTGGATACATAACATGGAGCAAAATGAAAGATAAAATTTAGGAGAGGGAGGATAGTACAGTAACTCCTAATAATCTTACTGAAAACCAGATTCTCTCCTCATAAAAAAAAAGAAATGTTAAGAAAAGAAAAGATGATCTGAAACTGCCGTTGAATAATATTATATGTCATATATAATTTAACACATATATAGTCATGGGATGTGGAATAGAGTATGAGAGTGGAGTCAATGGAATTGTAATAGATAAGTATGATATCGGGGGTGGGAGGGCTGTGGTTGGGGGGGGGTTGTCACTTGGTGAGGGGTGAAAGGCTAACTAGTGCACTGTTTTGTACACCTGAAACGAATAATAATAATAAATAAGATAAAATAAAATAAAGAAAAGATGGATGACCTTTGCCATATCAAAGAAGACTAGAACTACTTTGAATCCAAATTGCAAGAGCTGGGAGTTGTGCTACTCAGCTTTGCCTTGTCACTGAAGGAAAAGTTAAGAAATGGCTAGGTGATTGGGCAGGCAAAAAGTTAAGAGATTTCCGAGATTTTGGAACAGTCTGGTCATATCTGATACCGTGTTAATTGAAAACCTTACAATCTGTCTATCATCCCAGTTTCTGAAGCAAGCACTCTCGCTGAAGCAGCATGTCTTCCTGATGACTTGGTTTTAAATGTACTTCCTGTAAGCAGTTGGACCCAGCAGTCAGGGAGAGAGATTCCTGTGTGGCTTGTGAAAGCAACATTCCTAGCTGACGTGTAAAAGCATTCAGTCTTCCAGACTCCTTGGCGCAGCTTGAGCTCTTGTTGTCTTCCTTACAATTATCGACTTGCTAATGAACAATGTCAGTGGATTTTAAAGAGCAATTTCAAATGAAGATGAAAGAAGCTGGATGCACAGCTTACCTTTGCTGCCTGATACATGATCTGTCCTGTAATTTGTGTGCTGTTAAGCATATCCTCTCCAGGCCCCATAGCAACGCACATGGTAGACTGGAACAAAATGAGACAAGATGTGTTCTTAGTGAAATAAACGATTACATTAAGAAATAGAAAATTACAAGTGACTCTAAGCAAACACAGTTTTCAGCCACATTCTAGCATTTCTTTTCAGACAGTCTCTCAGTTTAAAGACTATGAAAAATAAAATCATTCATTGAATTGGAGCAGTGAATATTTTTAGAAATCATCTATTCCAGCACCTTTTAAAAATAAGGAACTGAGGCTCAGGTGGGTTAGAGGATTTGTCAGATTTGTTAGATAAATCTTTCCTTAGCTACCTGTAGCTAAGGCCTAAAGCCACGTCTCCATTTGCTACACATCTCTCTACTTGCTTGTTTTTGCCTGGGGCTCTTGCTCATGATTGCCTGAAATTAAAACTCAGTTAAAATTATATTGGAACATCTAGCTGACCCTCAGAAAACAAATCAGTAAATAAATCTGACTCTATACCTTACATCAGAAATATTTGACATGGATCAGCTATTTAAATATTATAAATGAAACCAAAAAGTATGAAAATAAAATATTAGCAAATATATTTTAAAGTCTTAAAGGTATGGAAGACCCTTCTAAAATTATGTAGGACAGGCTTAATAAATCTGACACCTTAAACATTTTAAACATCCATATAGAGAAAACTAAAACATAAGTAAGCCTGAAAGACAAAATAATAAATTTGGTAGGGAGGGTACACTGGTTATGACAAGCTAAGGCTTTAATATATTAAGAACTTTAAAAAGTCAATATGAAAAAATACCCTTATGATTTATCCATATTGAGTCATCTCTTATTTTCAGTAAAAAGCATTTATATGTATATCAAAATCATCACATTGTACACCTTAAAATTACACAATGTTATATGTCAATTATATCTCAATAAAGTTGGAAAAAAATGAAAGCAAAGGAGAATTATCCTAATGAATATGCAATGGAATATAGATGAAATAGGTAATTTACAAAAAAAGAACTGTAAATGGCCATTCAACATTAAAATATGTTCAGTCTCATGAGTAATTAGATATAAGTTTAAACTACAAAAGAGAACCCTTTGCATACTGTGTTGGTAAAAACTGAACGATTGACAGTCCTGACAGTCCTGGTATTGGTGAGAGATTGGGGAAAATGTCACTCATGCACTGTGGGTGGAAATGTGACAGAGAGAGCTTTTGGGCAATGCTTAGCGTATGTTAGATTCCTTCCCCTTTGACAGCAAACTCACTTTTAAGAATTTGTACTAAGGTGAAACTCTTATTCATGTGAAAATACATATGACAAGCAGAGTGACCATAGCACGCTTATATGAAAGAGGGAAAACAAGAAGAGGGAAAGGGTGTGAAGAAAGAAAGGAGGCAGAGAACGAAAATACTCATCAGTAAGGGACTGATTAATTACGGTACTTAACACTGAAAATCACAGAGTTAGTATAACATAAACAATGTTTTAAAGCATATTTACTGGAAATGAGGAAGCAGGTAATAGCACAGCGTTATAGTATGATCCCACTTATGTAACGTTGTATATATGGGCATATGTATGCATGGATTCATAAAGAGTTGTCTGGAAGGATGTTCATTAAAATTTTAACAGGTTGTGGGATGAGGGAATGCTTTAAATGTTGTTTTTAAAGAAACCACATTAAAGCAAAAGACATGGCAACATTTGCCCATTTCCCGCTTTCTCTTTCTTAACTGAGTCCTGATTTTGTTCAGGAATCCATCTTTCCCCTTGCAGTTACTGGTCCCATTCCTAGCTCCAGATAAGCCTAAAGCAATCATGGTCACGCCCTAGGCCTTGCTGAAGAATGGTCAAGAGCTCCAGCCTAAGTCAGTCAACATGTATCATTCCCCCAGCAACTGCTGTGGTCCAGGGATGAACATATGACATAAATTGCCCCAAACATACAGAAGAGAACTTTTATTCCACGGTTGGAGGAGAGGTTTTCTCTCTCTCCTACTGTATATGGGGAGATAAAAGCACACACCTTCCTCACTGCTGACTGCCGTATTGCAAACATGAGGGAAGCTAATCCAACATTCAGAGAGAAACAGAATTCTCTTGTGGAAGGGGGTATGACTGTTGTAATTTTTTTCTGAGTATAAAGTACACTCACTGTAGAAAAAAATGCATAAATAGAATAAACACTACTTATAATAGTACCAGAAAGACAAAACCATAGTCAACAATTCAGTGTGTTTCACTTTATCTTTTAACTATGATGCATTTATTTTCAAAACTGCAACCATAATGAATATGCAATATTAAATTCTAAATTTCTTAGTCAACATTGTGTATTATGAGCTTTTTTCCACATTAAATATGCCAACATAAGACATTAAGTTGTTGCATAATATTCTACTGCAAATAAGTATAATAATTTTTTCACCATTTCATCTATGAATTTTGGAATTTAGCAAGTAATCAGTTAATTCACAAACAATGTGAATTAATAATTTGTGAAAAATTTTTAAATAAAGGGTAACAAAGAAACACTTTCTATATAAAAACAGTAATATATAAAACAAAGGTATAATTGCTAAAACTATGTTGCTCAATGGGTGGGGTTGACTGGAATAGAATACATAGCCCAGAAATAGTGTTTAACAAAAGTAATATCACAGGTGAAATGTTGTAGAAACACAAATAAGAACCCAGAAATGAGTATCTGAATATCCTGTCAGAGTTGAAAAATCTAAATGACCTTGGAAGGGGGGAAACAGTTAAATGAATGACAAACAGTAGAGCCACATTTGTCTTTAAAACCTAATGCTCAGAATTATATATAGTTTATAGAAAGGTTTCTAAGACAAATTGGATGAAAAACTCAAATCCTGGACCAACAAATAAATAAATGTGTTATAAAATTTTGTTCATGAATGCAAAGACAAATATATAGGAAGAGGTGTGAGAGTGGTAACTTCTGGGAAGGTGAGAAGACAAGGAAGGGAGGTAAAAAGGGACTTTTACTTTCTACTATTGTCTAAGCTTCCATGTTGAATTTTACAGCAAGATTTTGTAATTTTAAAAGAAAGAAAAACATTTTTGATCATATATTGTTTAAAACAAAACCTGTGAGAAATATCTCAGGGAGGCATTTTTTAGTACTAACTTGTGACTTCAGAAATGCCAAGGCAAATGTTTCAGACTGCCCGAGTTTAGGGAAGGATATTCAACCTCTGACATGTACTCAATTATCGCATCATACAAAAAAAAATCACAATCAGACGGAAAAAACATAATTTTATCTAATTGAAATTTACTGTGTGATTTTGAGACAAGCAGATGCTAGAGGTAAGTAGGCCAGAGTATATCTGAGGAAATACTTGTAAATTAATGATAAATATTTAAGATAAAAAAGTACATGAGATGCAAACACAAAGATTTCAGGTAACAATTACCTACCCCACCAACAGGACAAGTGCTATTGGCGTTATCACAAGACTCTCCTGTGTTGGTGCAACGTGGGCCGCGAGTATTGGGGGACACATCTCCTAGGTTGGATGAAGCAAAAGCTGCTACGAACGGTCCCTGCCGAAAGAAACAGCCAATTGCATTTTTATTCTTTCTTACTTCCCACGACTTCCACTAAAAATACAAACATTCAACCTGCTCTGGTGAACTATTCTAAATCATTTGCACACAATCAAAATATGTACAATATTCTGCAAAAATATTTTATTTCTGAAAAGGCTCATATTGCAGTCAGTGTCCATATCATTCCCCTTGATATTCCAAGGATCCATAAAGCTGTTTCAAGCAGGAGTTTCAAATTTGCACCTCAAACAGAAACATTTTTACAAGAAACACAGTGTGCAGCAACAAATTACAAAATGCTAAAACATCAAGTCTCCTCTCTGGCATTGTACCTGAAGTTCCAAAAATTCACTTGCCTTTAAAAAATAAACACCCCATGGCTTAAAAAGAAAAGAGCCAATCCAAGTTGTCCTGTTGCAAAACTGAAACTAAATATAGCATCCACCCTCCAGACCTGCCCTTCAGTGTATCTTTTCTCTATCTCTTCAACCTGAAGTAATAACACATAACCTTTTAGAGTGGCGCAAGGCATTAACCTCAACCCACTCACTGGTCCACCATTCCACCTTAAATGTCTTAAATTTTCTAGGGAAAGAGATAAGCAAGTATGAAAGACCATGTGTCTTTTTTTATGCTAAAAAGATCAGTTATCTGAAAGTGACCAGCATCCAGCCAGTGATCATAAATGGGAACCTCCTTTTTTTTCCCCCTTAAAACACAGGCTAAAATGAAAAAAAATAAGAGTTTTGCCAACAGAGGAACTAAAAAATCAGACCAAAGTTCATGGAGCTAATAATATCTTTATAGAGGGACTGGGGCTCTCATCCCGTGGTGCATATTCTTCTGCATTCAGGGCTTGGATGCTGGTGTCAAGCAGAGCAGGGTCCCTTCTCCCACTTATCTATCTGTAGTCTTTATTTTACACAGATCTGAGGAGTTTCCTGGTGTACACAGATGGGGTTCCTAGCCTCCCATCTCTGATCCTGTCACTCACTGTGTTTCAAAACTACTATAACAAGTCTGATGGATTAGGGTTGTCTCTGATTTCGGCCTTATGACAGGCAAGTAGAACCAAGTCCTTGAAAGGAAATTCACCATTAAGGGGAAAGTCTGGAGCAGTGAAAAGAACTCATCACCTATTCTCATTCAGGTTCTTACACCATTAAGAATGTGCTTAATACTTTTATAACTCTGAAAGCAAACTCAAACATCAACACAGTTTAATATTTAGAAGGTGATTAGAAAAACTGTTATATATTGCAAAAATCTTGAACTTGCCCTCCTGTATCTAACTAATTGTAACTTTATGAAGCCATTAATATAAGCAGTAATTGACACAAAGTTTATTTGTCATTTTTAACTTTTCTTTCCCTATTAGGAAGGATGGAGAATTCTTTTTATCAATTATATCAGTATGTGACGTCCATGATGAGGCTTTACTCTGAAGATTCGAATCAGCTATTCTGAACATTGCATGAATGATGATACTAAATGAGTTAAGATGAAGCTTTCAATGACATAAATTCTCACCTGTCCAGGTAGATGTTCTTTGTTCTTTTCTTGCTCAAAAAGGTAAGATGCATAGCCCATATTGTCACTATTTACAAGATGATTGCTGTTGTTCATACTGACTGGGTGGATGGCAAACCAACTGTAACAGAGCAAGAAGCCCTAAATTAATGAAGGGAACCAGATAACTGGGCCAAAAATGGTGACTGGGAGCTTAAGTTTTGTACATCAGGAAAAATAAAATTAATGGTCAGCATTCCACAGTTAGGTTCTTTCATTGGTAATGAGCTTACATTACTAATAATATACTCAACAAGTCTGATCATTTAATTAAATTAAAAACACAAAACTATTTTTACAAATATTTTATAGTCATTATCCTCATCATAAGCTTTTAACAAGAGTCAAAACCGGTCATTTACTAGATGATATACCATATTTCCCCCATGTATAAGATGCTCCCATGTATAAGACGCACCTTAATTTTGGGGCCTGAAATTTGAAAAAAAATGTATTACATAAAGTTATTGAACTCAAGTTTTATTCATCATAAAATCCATACAACTCCTCATCACTGTCAAAACTCCCACCCATTAGCTTGTCCTCATCTGTGTCTGATGACGAATCACTGCCTTCATACATTGCCTCGTCCTCAGCGGGAAATGCAAGTAAAAAAATCTACAATAACTGTATAAGATGCACCCAGTTTTTAGACCCCAAATTTTTCGAAAAAGGGTGCGTCTTATACATGGGGAAATATGGTACCTAAAGAACTGTATAGAAAATAGATCTTGTTCTTCCATACCAGTACACATATAATTATTCAAATCAATCCAATCCAATAGATAGTTCCTGAGGGCCTACTGTGTGCCAAGTACTAAACAAATTGCAGTTTACTCTCAAAATTTTACGGAAAATAAAGATGTGAACAAATGGCTTTAATACAACGCGACAACGGTTATAAAGAAATAGGCATCTGTTTGGGGACCATAGATGACTAGCAATTAATTCTTAAGGGCATTTCAGGGAGAGAAAACAGCAGAGTAACTGCACAGAGGTGTGAAAGAGCATGCTATGCATAATTCAATATATCCTTATGCATAGTAATACCTTGTTTAGGTGTAAAGCTATGCAGCTTACAAATTAATGTCGCATCTGTCACTTTATTTGAACTTCACAACAACCCTTAGAGAGAGGCTATTACCTCCACTCTGCAAGGTATCTCAGAGAAGTAAATTGGTGATTCACTTGTCATAGATGACCAAAACTCACGTTTAGGTCTTGTGACACCCAAACCTCCACATGAGTATAAAAGATATTTTACAGAATAGAAGGCTGTAAAGCAGATTAACTAGGATGTTCAAGCAAAGAGATGCCAATAAAGTTTTAGGCTAATTTAGGATTTTTAAAAAATCTTTTGTTGATTTAATTCTTCACTGAAAGCTCTTTAAACATTTCAGTCCTACATAAATAATGTAATGCACAAAACTAAACATTTACCAAATGACTGGGGCTGTTTTTGGACTTCGCAGCCATCACTCAGGATTCAATTCTCATTGCCCAACAGGTGTATAATATATGTAGGTCAGAGGTGGCCGGCACAACGCCCACGGGGGCTGGGTAGGTAACATAAATGACTTATAAGAGCTGGCGCAATAGAGACTGGTGTGGACTCTGCAGATCTGAAGGCATTTGCATGGCCTACAGGCTGCAGCCTCTACTGTGCTGCAGTCAAATGTTGCCTATGGAAGGGCAAGCCAGGGCTGCCAGATCTTCCAACTATTTCAAAAGAAACCATAAATCCATGCTTTGATGAAATATTTATCTATTTAAACATTCTTAAAGCAATAAATGGCATGGAACCAAAGGAGGGGAACTGTTACAAATTAAGAACTTAAGACACGTAGCCAACAAATGGAACCTGTGAACTCTATTTTGATTCTGATTCAAATAAAACAACTATAAAAAAACTTTATTGATACAAGCAGGGAAAACAGAACACACACTGGGTTTTAGATCATATTAAGAAATCATGTTTAATTTTGTTGGTTATAATCATGGATTATAGTTACATTTTTTAAGGTTTTCTTTTAAATCTGGTAGAGATACACACTCAAATATTTATGAGTGAAATACAATATCTGGCATTTGCTTTTAAATACTAGCAAAACACACAAACAAAAAGAAGCAGAAGAATGAAACAGAATGGCAGAATAGTGCTAATTATTGAAGCTGAATAATAGTTATGTGGAGATTCGTTAGACTAATCACTCTACATTGGGATATATTTGAAAAATTTCCGTAGTAGTTTTTTGTGGGGGTTTTTTTCATGTTGACATCCATTTCAAATTTTTTTAGTGTTAGGCCACATCAACAGTCTGTAGGTGAATTAAGTCCCCAAGGTATGCATTTGTCACTGTGCAAAGGTACAGAAGTTTAGGCTGAAGGTAGCTCTACAGTCATCCCCTAGAGCTTACTGGCAAGGTCTCTATATTTTTTAAAAACCTTATAATAGTTTCCTCTTGTGGTTTGTCTCTTTCTCTTAAAACTCAATTGCCAGGGGGAATTCCACTCAAGTAGTGTTTTCCAATTAGTTGGAGTCTGATTTTTTTTTTTTTTTGTAGTTTTACTCCATTTAGTTTGAAAGGAAAATGGGTGTGGCCATGGCAGTTCCATCGCTCACCAACCAAAATAGTTCTAATACAATTGCACTCAGGCCAGCCAGACTGAGCCAGACTGCAACCTCCCCAATCAAAGGAAACCTGTAGAACAATTCTGTCAACATTAACTATCATTTAACACTTTTGAGGTGAAGAATTTTCCATACAGAATCTCATTTTATTCTCACAAGACTTCTTTGAGTCAGATGCTATCATTATCCTCATTTGACAATTAAGAAAATGAAGTCTCAGTGTAATGATGTAACCTGACCAAGGTCACATAAGTCAAGAAGTAGGCTATGAATCCAGGTTTGTCAGACCATGAAGCGCATGTTCTTATCTGCTACTTATCTGCTATGAGATACTTGCTCTGTCCCTTCTGTTCATTCACTTGCTCATTCAATACAAATTTAGTTAACTTTGACTCTGTGCCAGGCACGGGTTACATAGAGATGAATGAGGCATCATCTTGCTCTTAAGAGATATGACATTTGAACTGGATCTTAAAAGATGAGTAAGAACCTGGCAAGGGGAACACTGGAGAAAAGTCATTCATAGCAAAGGCATGCAGATGGGATGGTGAGCAGTGTGTTCAGAGAATGGATAGTCACAGTGGCCAGAGCAAAATGTAGAAGGGCAAAGAGAGGTAGCGGTTGAGCCACTCATTCAAGCAATATGAAATTATTAGTAGACAAGCATGTGGCTGGCATTGCGTTAAACCCCAGGGAACATAGAAAGGAATCAGCCATGTTCTCTACCATCAAAGAACCACAACAATACCTGTAGAGAAAGCAAATGCTATGAATTTTGGTCTACTAATTAGACTATAAACTTCAATTCTTGTCTATTTCATTGAGTCATTTTTCTTTATTTTAGGCCTTAGAAAATTAACTGAACTTTTTCTCTGCAAAAATGAAATAATACGTATTCAAAAAAGTTCTTTAAATTTCAGAATAAGAAGATGCTGGATTTTTCCTCCTCTGCCCTTTGAAATATGTGCTATTAAAATATCAGGCTTGTCACAATAACCAAAGTACTATGGTAATAGATGAATATTTATAAAGATATGAAGAAAGGTGGTCACTTTAAGGAGGCTGTACTCACAACTTATTTTATCTGATCAAAAAGTATTCATCAAAGCAAAGTTCAAATGAGAGGAAGAAAGGTTTGTGTAGTTTCAAAAGAAGTTAGAATATAGACATAAAAGAATGAATATGTCCCTGTTAATAAACACTTTAAAATAAGGATTATGTCACAGCTAGACTATATGAGAGGAAGCATAACTTGACTTGAGTCAGCACAATATAATCAAGGTACTGAAGAAAGTCAAGAGATTTGAAATTTTATCCTAGTTTGTAGCAAAGTTAGTTAAAATTTCTGGATCTCTTGCTCCCTAAGACTGAAAAACATAATACATTTCAACTACACTTTGTGAATTAATAAACAGCAAATTAATACAGATTATAATTTTCTCCTCTTATATAATTGAGGCATTTGGAACAAAAGATTTCGAAGTCCTCTTTCAATTCAAACAGATGTACTTCCTACTCTGAAACAGAAAAAATGCCAAACACAAAAATCAAGATTCTTAACTATTCTAAAATAGTAACAAACCCATCCCAAGTTCCATACTCTCAGACCTGGGCCAACATGTCCCACATGTAGAAAGGTGACTGACAAAGCAGGTAAATGGAGGCTGAAATCCATCACCCACTTGGCTCACCAACTTAGGCACCTTCATCAGCCCAGGGAAGAGAGCACCTGCGTATGTGTGATTTACACTAAGGTCCTCGCCCTCTCCAACCTAGATGTACACCAATAGGGAAGAGAATATTGTGCACCCATTCAAAGGTAGTGGATAAATACAATCTAGGAAGCTGTATTAGTGTCCCCACAAAGTTCATGTCTACTGGAACCTCAGAATGTTACCTTGTTTGGAAATAGAGTCTTTACAAATGTAATCAAGATAGAAAGCAAGTGAGATCATATTGGCTAAGGCTGGGTCCTAAATCCAATGTCAGGTGACCTCATAACAAGACGAAAGGAACAGACATGCAGAGACTTAGAGAAGTATATGATGTCAAGAGGGAAACAGAAATTGGAGTGATGTGTCTACAAGTTAAAGATTGCTGGCCACTGCCAGAAACTAGGAGAAAGGCATGGAACAGACTCTTCCTCACAGCCTCTGGAAGAACCAATGCTGCCAACACCTTGATTTTGGATTTCTGGCTTCTTGACATGTGAAAGAATAAATGTATTTTGTTTTAAGCCAGCCAGTCTATAGTAATTTGTTATGGCAGCCCTAAGAAACTAATAGAGAGGCCACATGTTTTAGTGGCTAAGAATCTAGGACTGGAGTCAGAAACAAATTATTTAATCAGTTTGAGCCTCAGTTTTGAACCTCAGTGTTGATATCTGTAACATAAAGATAATAGTAGCATCTACCTTACAGCATTTGACAAGTAAAGGAATAAATATATCT